TCGGGTCTGGCGCGCTTGCCGAGCGGTCGTGCGCCGTTTTGCCTCCCTGCGGCCTGGGCGTCGCTGCTCTGGCCCCATGGAGCACAGGAGGCCCAGGTCCAAGTGTGAGTCCTCGGAGAAGGAGAAGCTGACGATAGCACTGGCCTTCCCTTCCCTCACCACGGCTGGATTCAGTTTTTGAAATCCCGGCCAGATTGCGCCCCGGGGAGTGGTCCGTGGAGCCGTGGTGCGGGATGGCATGGGCACCTGTTTCTGTTCCCCCGGGGCCGGGCCCAGGCCCGGCGCGCCCAGGTCCCGGCGGCCCGCGCTCGAAGGGCCCCCGCGCCCAGCGGGCACCGTGCGGTGCGAGGAAGCGCACACGGCGCGCACCTGGGCAGCAGGCTCTGAGGGCAAGGCTGGGGCCCCAGAGATCCAACGCATTGGAAAAACCAAGACGGAGGTTTTTCTCAAATTTCGGCCCCTGGGGGCCCTCGCCGTGCCTCGGGACCGTCAACAAAACTACTCGGGATGAAAAAACAGTCCTGGGGAATGGGTCGAGACTTCCGGGGACCGCGCATGGACAAAAATCACGACGTCGGATCTTTGGGGCCGTGAACGGCCTGTCGGGTTGGCCCACTCGTCAAACCCAACGACGCTTGGCTTGCCAAACGCGGTCCCGCCTGTCCGAGCTTTCGACGACGGCGTGCGCCAGTGCCTCCACCAGCGGTCGGAGCTGGACCTCCAGCAGCGATGGGAGCGTGGCAGGCTCGGGGCATCCGCACCAGGGATCGGCGCGCGGTCCCGAGCACGAACAGGTCGGCCTTAGGCCATCTCCCATCGCGCCCTGAGGCCATCTCCCATTACTAGGCCATCTCCCATCTCCCATCGGAGCTCGAGGCGGGCATGCACTTTTTCTTAGGCAAGCTGCTGAGCATCTGGGACCCGTATCAGCGTCACGGGCATGATCTGATCTTCCTCTTGGCATTCAGTCGGGCCTGTCCCTCTACAGGAGGGATGCTAAAAAATAGTCAAACAATAGTCGGGGGAGGATTGTTTGACCATTTTGGAGTAGTATTTGAGTTTTTAGTACTATTGTTTGTTTGTCGTCCAAAATCCCCCTGGAGGAAGACATGCGCGACCTAATACTGGCACGCCTGCGCAGCTCTGCTCTGAGCAGCGGGTGCGGTAAGAACACGAGGGGCGCGGCCCTGCAGGGCAGGCGCTCTGTGCAGTTCCGCCTGGTGGACAGGACCACTGTCAGTTCAGGCATCTCATGCACATCACAGGCTGCAGCATACACTCCACTCGTTCAAACTAGATATCAGATGCCGACCCAGTTTGGCCGAGATCTATTTTTACCGAGTCTGATTTTATCGAGCCGCGGCCTGAACATCAAGTATATGTCCTCAGAGCGCTGCTGAGATGATGTTGCTGTTGCCATTGCAGTCTGGGGTCAGTCCAGGGTCATTCCAGGGGCAGTTCCGTCCGATGGACAGGACAATGGTCAGTTCAGGCATCTCATACAGCATCACAGGCTACAGCATACATCGGATCTTTGAAGATGCACGGCGGGCGGTCATGATCTGGTTTGTGTTTCTGCCTTCGACTGGATGGGGGGGTCTCCTCAAACCACTTCGGGGGCGGGTCTGGTCCTGGGGGGTTACCGTCTTGCTCGTGACGGTGGCCGTCGGAGGGGTCTGGATCGCCTCGTCTGGGCATGGCTGGCAGGGGGCATTTCTCCTTGCACAGCCTGTCCGTGAGGACTCTTCGGTAGAGGGAAACAATTCGTGGACCCTCCCCTCTCCCCCAAACTCAAAGTTGGCACGCGCGGGGGGAGATTGCGGTCGAAGTGCAACCCATCAGACCCACCGCCAGCTTTGAACATTGGGGGGAAGGGGGAGGCGTTGGCCGACGAATGTGGCATGCGTGTTCGCTATTTTTGTCCGAGGCCTGTGTGTATTGTTTCCGCCGCCACGGGCGCCGGGGCCGTCCACAAGCGGCTTACGAAGGCGAGCTGGTTCTGGGGAAGTCCCTGGGGTTTAGGACCTGTTGCCTTCAGGACCCGATTCCTTCATCGCGACATCCTTCTTCCCACGTCTCCTTCCTACCACCCCCCTCCCTCCTGCCTCTCTCCTCTCCTCCCTTACCTCCTCCTCCCTCATCCGCCCTGCCTCCTCCTCCTCCTCCTCCTCCTCCTTGTCCCTCCTCCGCCCTCCCTCCTGCCTCTCTCCTCTCTTCCCTTGCCTCCTCCTCCCTCCTCCCTCCGTCCTCCGCCCCCAGAGCCCGCGCCCCCCACTCTGCGGCCCGAGAGGTGGCCCTCTACCGCCCGGGCCCCCCGGGAGCGGTGGCCCCCCACTGGGCCTCCCCGCCGTGGCCCCCCGTCGTGGCCCCCCGTCGTGGCCCTCCCTCGCGACCCCCCCAGCGCAGCCTTCGCAGCCGTCGTCGTGCCCCCTCTCGTCGTGGCCCACCTCCCCCTCCTCCTCCTCCTCCTCCTCCTCCTCCTCCTCCTCCTCCTCCTCCTCCTCCGCCTCACCCTCCTCTTGACGCCCGCGGCTGGCGGCCTCCTGCGCAGGCCGCCGGCGCCTCCTCGAAGAGGCCCTCCTGCCGCCCAGGAAGGGGCTGTTCAGAGTTCTCGATCGAAATGTTGCCATCGATGTTGACGGGGTGTGCCGAGATGGGTGCGGGACCGCATGCGGGCTGCGCCAGGGCTGGACCTAAACGCTGTTTTGGCTGGCCTTCGGCTGTGTTTTGTTTTTCGTTTTGGCAGGGGGGTACAGGAAGACAGGTAGAGCAAAACGAAAACAATACGAAAAACAACGTTTAGCTCCAGTCCTGGGCTGCGCTGCACCACTGGGACCTTCGGTGGAGCTCCCCCTGTGGGGCCACGAAGCGTGTGCAGGGTTCGCCGAAGTGGGTGCGAGACCGCGTGCGGGCTGCGCCGTTGGGACCTTCGGCGGAGCTGCATGTGTCGCCGCGCCGCTTGTTCGGGCGCGCGGCCTTACGTCTTGGGGAGGGCGCCTCGGCCATCAGGGCAAACGCCGCCTCGGGCGCGGTGGGCTTGCCGTGGGGTTTGCCGCGGTGCCGGCGTCGTCTCTTTGGGGCGCGGAACTCAGAGTTTGCCGTGGGTTTGCCGTGGTGTCGGCGTTGTCCATTTGGGCGCGCTAAGCACAGCACAAATGGCGAGGCGACATATATGGGGCCACGAAAAGTGTGATGGGTGTGCCGAAATGGGTGCCGGACCGCATGCGGGCTGCGCGACTGGGACCTTCGGTGGAGCTCCCAATGGGGTCACGAAGCGTGTGAGGGGTGTGCCGACATGGGTGCGGGACCGCATGCGGGCTGCGCCACTGGGACCTTCGGTGGAGGTCCGTATGGGGCCACGAAGCGTGTGAGGAGTGTGCCGAACAGGTTAGCATGCGGAGGGCAGAGGTAAGGTTAGGAGGATGGAGGAGGCGGGAGGAGGAGAGGAGGAGAAGGAGACGCGGGGCGCTGTCCCTTCAAAACGAGAACCCAACACCACAGGATGGTTGGGAAAAGCAATCCCTGGCGATTCACTGTGCAGTTGGCGTAGAATGCTGTGGGCGTTGCTTTGTGAGCAGGGCGCAGCATAGGCCACCAGGATACCACCCGCTCGAGACGTGGTTGTGAAATTCGGATGCCATCCAGAGCGCTCTTCACTGAGCAGTCACCTGGTGTAGTCCCCGACGGTTCTCGAATCGTTTCTAGAAGCAACTCTGTGTAAGCCGTTTAGCATTGCCAGGAATGATGCCGTTGAAGGGTGTCGAAGCCGCGCTGAAAAGTTCCCGCGATTCGGCAGACAGCTTTAGGTGCGAACAGTCCTGCACAGTGAAGTCTATGCTCCACGCTTTTGGTGCAGCTGGTCCATTTCGCAGGTATTCCAAAACTAGGGAACTTCTACCAGGTCAAAGCGGAGCTGCCGTATAATATTTTACCTGCAAAAGAGCGCATATTGGCTTCCATCTGTGAAACAGTCAGACAGCAGGCTTTGCAGCGCAGGCTTGTTTCAATTAGTACTGCTCTGAACTTTGGATGGGGGATGGCGCCGAAAGAGTGGGATTTTGGGAAGAACCACGAGGACAGCGATGAACCATTCCAGCCAACTTGGCGCACGCACGCGGGCACGTGCAGCTAGCTGCCCCTTTTTCCCTCTCCCTGCCATATCCCCTTCCGTCGGACGTCGGAACCCCTCCTTCCACGCCCCAGTACCCTCTCCCCGGTCTCCCCTGTCTGTGGCCCATCTCTCCCTGCACCTTCCTGTCCCTCTCCTTCTCCTCGTCCACCTTCTCCTGCCTGCCTCCTCCTCCTCCTCGTCCTCGTCCTCGTCCTCCTCGTCCTCCTCCCACCCTCTCTCACCTCGCCACCTCCTTTCCCCCCCAGCGCCGTGCGGCGGCATGCCTCTCAGGGCCCGCGTTTCGGAGACTGGCCCCCCTCTGGCTCTGGGACAGTGGCGGCCAGGACTGGCTGCGATCCAGTTCGGCGTCCCCCGCTTTTCCGCCTCCCGTGCCCTCATCTCGGACGGGCCTAGGATCGAGATGAATCTGTTCCAGAGCGTTCCTGAACGCTCTCAGAGCGGGTCGCAACGCTCTGAAATGGCCGCGGCGCCCGATACATCCCCCAAGCTTGCCGATTCTCATAGATTTCCGATTTCTGTCGGTCCGATTTTGTCTCGATTCTGTCTTCGTCTTGCCATGCAACACCGTCCATTCTCCTCTCCCGTCCCGAGGTGAACCTGTCGACGGCGATCCATCGGCTGGCCAAGATTACGGCGAACGATCCCAGGGCGCAGGCGGTGCTCAGGCAGCACCCCGCGCTGGAGGAGCTGCAGGCCGCCATCGCGTCTGCGCTGGAGGTGCTGGAGCCGGGCGAGGTGCAGCCCCAGTCGCTGAGCAACGTCGTGTGGTCCCTGGCCACGATGCGGCTGCTGAACTGGTCTCTGCTCCAGGCGAGGCGTCCCAGGAAGAGCAGCTCGCCCTCGAGGATCGAAGGAGTTGGCATCTCGTCCTCGGCGAAAGGCGGCGGAAGGCCAGCGGAGGGCGGCGGATAAACAGGGGCGGCTCCGCCGGCGGAAGGTGGCGGAAGTACAATATGCGCCCCCACGAGATGCCAACATTTTTGGGTTCAGGGTTTCCGGAATCGGCCAGGTAGTGGCTGCGCTGGCCATGACGAACATCTCCTTGTTCAAGCCGTTCGAGCTGTCGACCATGCTCTGGGCATTCGCCAAGTTAGTCTCAACGGACCACGGCGAGCCAGGCAGCAACGTGAAGCCATTTTTCCATGTTGCCGCAAACCACATCTCGGGAAACAGACAATGGCATAGACATAAAAATTCGGAGATCCGCGCGGCTTTCTCGGGTCGGCTCTGGACCACCCTTCCTGGCGCGCGGAGCGCGCTACGGGCGGCGCCGGCGGCGCTGCCAGGGGGCTCCAGCGCCGATCCTAGGAATCCGCGCGGAGCCCCGAAGATTCATGTTTATGGCGTTGCTTGTTCCCCGAACATCACGAAGCACGTGCAAGATTTTGGCTTCCGCTGTCTTGCGACAACTGCCTGGGCGTTCGCAACCGCACGGCAGCGTCACGCGCGCTTCTTCCGCAGCATCGCCGCGCAGATGATACCAATGGTACACGCGGCGAACTGCCAGGAGATTTGGAGCCCCTGGAGGTCTGAGGTGGCCCAGCACTGTTTCTGATCAGCAGGAAGGGCGGGCAGGTTCGAGGTTCTGGGTTCAGGACGGTTTTTTGCCCTCTGCGTTAAATCGGGCATGTCCTCTACAGGAGGAATATTCAAACATAGTGTAAAAATAGCCCGGGGACTTTTTAAAAGTATGTTGTACGATTTTTGGATATGTTTTGACTAGTTGTAATTTCTCCTCGAAAATCGGTCTGTAGGGAGACAGGCCCGACCTAACCTTTGCGGTCTCCGGGGTCCTTTTTCTGGAAAGCCGGATGATAGGCGAAACACAGCACCAGATGGACCCCTGGAGGGGTCCAGGGACCGATTCTCAGCGGATTTGTGCTCATTCTTCCTCTTGGTCGATTTTCTGGGGTCCCAACCAGTTTCGCAGGCCTAAAGGTTGACACCAACACCAATATCGGCGGTGTGCCTCCACCGAGGGAAGAATATCCCGATCTCGGTGATGGTGGTAATATTCTGGCTTCCAAGGTGACCGACGTATTACCATCGACACCGAAATCTAGGATCATCTTCCCCCCGTGGAGGCAACCCTCTGTGTTGGTGTTGGTGCCCATGTCCAGGCCTCCAACCAATTCAGATTCCCCGGCCGCCTCCGCCAGGAGATGGCGAACACGGCGTGGGCGTTCGGCACCACCGATTTCCACGACGACCAGCTCTTCACGGCGCTGGCCGAGCGGGCGCTGATGCAGCTCCACGACTTCAAGCCGCAGGAGCTCGGTATCGTTTCACCAATCCCCATCCCCACCCCCACCCCCTTCGAGACCCCCTACCAAATTACCACCCCAGTTGGGGAGGTACGCCCCTCGAAGCCCGAAGGGAACGACCTTTATCCCTATCTTGGGGGGGTAAATCGGCCAGTGGGGCCCAGGCCACGCCGCTGGGGATGGGGACCGGTTAAGCGATAGTCAGGATCATGGGCCTGTTTTCCACCACCACCATAAGTTGGAAGGGGGAAGGATGAGGAGGATGAGGAAGAGGAGGAGGAGGAGGAGGAGGAGGAGGAGGAGGAGGAGGAGGAGGAGGAGGAGGAGCCCCTCCCCCTCCTACTTATGGTGGTGATGGTGGTGATGGTGGTGGTGGAAAACAAGCCCGCCACAGGAGCTCTCCAACCTGCTGTGGGGGTTTGCCACAAACGGCTTCTTCCACGAGGGCCTCTTCGCCAGCTCTGGGCTCGCGGCCCAGCGCATGAACCTGCAGGCGCGGCCGGGCGGCATACCGCTCTGGGTGCCCTGAGGTCTGGCGTTGCGAGAGTACAGGCGTTTTCGAAACAAACGCCCAAGTACAACGCCTAGAAGATGGCGCAAGAGCGCCCCCCGCGCCCCCAATTTCAGTGTTCATCTGAGGGAGCACGCCGCGGCTCGCAAACGTGGGCGTCTTTTTCGAAACGACTCGCACTCCACCGCGTCGACCGCCCCGAACTTGGAAATTGGGACCGGGGGGTTGGACCCGCTTCAACGCGCATTCGAGATGGGCGTTTTTTTGGTCGAAAACCACGGTGTTGCAGCACCGCGAACAATCACGGCCAGAGCCCCAGACCCCATCTTTCTGCTGCATTGGTTCGGGCTGGATCGATCTGTGATGATCCAGGCGCCCGACAGCAGGCGAAACTGTCTGGTGTGAAACATTGCGACGGATCTCAGGGTGGAAGGGGGCCCAGGCTGGGCTTGCCAACTTAAAAGACCCTCCAGCGGCTGCGAATCGGGCGGTGCTTTTTTTGGGGGGGATCTGGGGGGGCGAGGGGGGTTGCTTGTTTGCTGCCGAGCCCGCTGGCCCTTCGGGCGGCCAACCGACATAAACCGACCGCGCCGACGTCGGCGGCACACACCAGAGAGGGCGACTGCGACGACGACGGTGACGGTGACGACGGCGATGACGGCAAGGGCGACGGTGACGGCGGGGATTTCCACTGCGAGGGCAGAGCCGGTGACGACGGCGACGGCGCCCGCGCCGGTGCCACGTTGCAGGCGCAGCATCTGGCGAATATCCTCTGGGCCTTCGCCAGGGTGCAGCCGCGGCACCACGCGACTCAGGCGACGACGCTCTCGCTGCTGCCGCTCTGCATATCGCAGCTGGAGAGCTTCAAGCCCCAGGAGACGGGGACCTGAACTCGCTTGCGTCCATGCGAGCACACACCCCGTGACAAAAGTACGTCAGCTCAGCCAAGGGATGATGATGAGGAGGAGGAGGAGGAGGAGGAGGAGGGAAGGGAGAGGAAGAGGACCCGTACTCGAAGGAGAAGCGAGACAATCGAAAACGGGATGCTTAGAGTGGTGGTAGTAGTCGTAGTCTTAGTCTTCGTCGTAGTCTTAGTCTTAGTCTTAGTCGTAGTCGTAGTCGTAGTCGTAGTCGTAGTCGTAGTCGTAGTCGTAGTCGTAGTAGTAGTAGTAGTAGTAGTAGTAGTAGTAGTAGTAGTAGTAGTAGTAGTAGTAGTAGTAGTAGTAGTAGTAGTAGTAGTAGTAGTAGTAGTAGTAGTAGTAGTAGTAGTAGTAGTAGTAGTAGTAGTAGTAGTAGTAGTAGTAGTAGTAGTAGTAGTAGTAGTGGTAGTAGTAAGTAGTAGTAGTAGTAGTAGTAGTAGTAGTAGTAGTAGTAGTAGTAGT